ATTCACTGCACTATGTAAAAAAACCAAACCTGGACTTGGTACCAAGAAATCAAACACCAAGACTGTGGGGTGCAAGTGGATTTACAAAATAAAACACAATGCAGATGGAAGTGTGTCAAGATACAAGGCAGACTAGTGCCAAGGGATTTACAGACTGCAGGGGTAGATTACTTTGAGACTTTCAGCCCGTGTGAAATGTAACACAATAGATCAAGTTAGCTTAGCAACACCCTAAACTGGGAAAACAAGACAAGGTGGACACAAACAATGCTTCCTCAATGGAGAACTCACCGAGGAGTTTTCATGGACCACCAGAAGGGTTTGAGGACCAAGACATCCAGACTTCATTTGCAAATCAACAAGGCACTTACGGACTCAACAGGCCCCGAGAGCCTGGTTCCACAAACTCACAGAGCTCTTAAAAACTGGGACTTCAAGGGTCAAAAACTGACTCATCAGCTCTAACTACACCGAGGAAAAGACTTAATAATTCTTGATGGTATGTGGACGACATATCATCATGGAAGTTCGAGCCTTCTGATAAATCAAGGTTCAGAACCTAAAAAACAAGTTTGCTTTAAAGGACATGGGAGAGCTATCCTACTTCTTAGGAATTGAAGTAAACAGACAAGGATCCTCAATGCACCTGTCTCAATGCAAATATATCCAGGACCTTCTTATTAAATCTCATATGGAGCTGAGTAAATCATGTCCTACACCAATGATCACTGGGCACAAATTCACAAGTAACGAAGGAAAGTCTCTACCAAATCCTTCCTTATATAGAAGTGTAATAGGGTCTCTGCAGTATGCAACAATTACAAGACCTGATATTGCATACAGTGTGAACAAGTTGAGTCAATTTATGCAAAATCCTTCTGAAGATCATTGGCAGGCAGTTAAAAGGGTCCTAAGGTATTTAAAGGGAACTTCGGAGTATGGCCTTCTTTACAACCCAGGGGGAAAGTGTGAAATCCAAGCCTACTCTGATGCAGATTGGGCTTGTGACACTGAGGACAGGAAGTCTACAGGAGGCTACTGTATTATGCTAAATGGAAATCCAGTAGCATGGAGCTCAAGGAAACAGAGAGGGGTGTCTAGATCAAGCACTGAAAGTGAGTATAGAGCTCTTGCTCAAGCTGGAGCCGAAATAGCCTGGCTAACTTCTTTGCTCTCAGAACTGAGAATATGGATTCCTTCAACACCAAGAATCTGGTGTGATAATGTTAGTGCCGCAGCCCTCACTTTGAATCCTATCTTACACGGGAAAACCAAACACATTGAGGTGGACATTCATTTTATAAGAGAAATGGTGAGTAATGGAGACGTCGAAGTCAGCTACATTCCATCAAGAGAACAGGTAGCAGACATATTCACAAAACCAAGTCCTAAGAACCACTTCGAATGGATGAGAAACAAACTTAAGGTCCTACACAGAGACCTTAGTTTGAGGGGGAATGTGAAGAAGATGGACCTTGGACAGATGGAAACAATCCAGGGAGACAGCACTGGTGACATGTGTCTCCATCCACCAGGTCTCTAACAAACACGCCAGGTGTCTAACAAACTAATATTCTCTGTGGTCCTCTGTTTGCTGTGCTGTCACTCTCTCACTACTGTGCTTGTCCACCACGTTTTGTAAATTGATCAGGAAGCTTCCTGAATCAGTTATGTAAAGGTGTATAAATCACGTGAACTGTAATATGAATATTATCTTCCATTTTCAAGCTTAATACTACTCCGTTTCTCTGGGTACTCCTTTCTCTTCTCTCACTCTGCTTTCTCCTTTTTCTCACTATAAGGACCCCAACTATGGCTTGTAAAGGTAATAAGAAAATAAACGTGAATCTAAGCTCAATAAGAGGACAATACATAGGAAACAATATATAATAAGGGACATTTAGATTTTATCATGATATAACAACCTCATGATTACAACACCACTATATTTCATAAAGTAAAAGATCAATAGAATAGCTCATGGGAAATTATTGTAAATTATGGATTTATTTTTGTCTAATTAATTTTTATTGTACTTAATTGTATGATAAAATGTTAATATATAATAATTTAAACTTGAGAGTAATTTTGTCTAAAAGTCACAAATTTTATTCTATCTTATCATTAGTTATTGTTAGAAGTATACAATATAGTTAAAATGGTGCTACATATACAAACTAAGCATATAAACTATTGTATACAAATTAATGTACCACAATTCATTTATTGTCACATCATTATCAATATTATGTTAGCATTAAATGAGTTGGTTATTTATACAAATTTATCCCTTCATTTGTATCATATCTGTTTGTATGGATGCATTTGTATAACGAGTTGGTATATATATCTAGTATTATTCATGTAATTATATATTTCTATTTCTCAACACATTCCCATTCTCATCCCCATCCTAATTATATTCCCCTACAATCCACGAAATAAAACCACCTTAGTACGAATATCACAAGTTTTAAGTTCAGCATCTTTCCTTTTGAGATACGTAAATAAAGATGCTTTGTTCTAACCCGTGCAATACGAGATCCATTATTGAGTCTATTATATTTCATCACACCATGTATATGGTTTCCATGAATATAATTTACCAAAACAAGATATATAGCATACTCATATCCCATTACCATCAATCAATTATTGGAGTTTAAAATGTGAAAATTTCTTGGATGCTGCCCAGCCTGAAGGCACACACATATATAAAGATATATATACAAAACCAATTAATGATACCAGGGATTAGTTGTTAGTTTTATAAAATACAAAATCAAAATTACTGGGTAGCCATTAACCTTTGGTCCCAAGTTAAAAACTTCAAGATATTTTCATGACTGTGATACATGAAATTAATAATAATAACAGTGATACATGAGACAAAATAAAACAAAAAATAAATACAAAGCAACAATAACCTAGAATAATTAAATTTAAGTAAACCCTTTCTGCAGCACCTGAGAATATTTTCTAAGAAAAGATGGAGCTGCCTGTTCCACTATTGAAATTTGTGTAAATTTGTATACAGCATTCAGTTAAAGTTTTGTATATGTGTTTTAGCTAGAAAAAGAAAGCATTAAGCATGTGTAATTGAGTTTTATATTTTCAGAAAAGAACTTAAAAATAACATTTGTTTCTTTTTAAATTAAATTTATAATATTATTGACTGGTTACAGTATTAGATTACTTCAGAGAAATAAAGTAAGCACGAGATTACAAATCCATATTAAGTTCTTGAAAAAGATTGGTACCAAAGCTGCAACTAGCTAGCTAGGTAGAAGTTCCTTTTCTTTCCTTTTACAGTTTGGAAATTTCCTTTATATATATCTTCACCCTACTTTTTCTTTGTTCATAATGGGTGAGAATGTCAGATAGTTTATCAGTTACTCTGAGTAATTTTTAAATAAATAAATAAATTCAATGGATACCCACTTTTTTTTTTTCCCTTTTATTTTATTTTTTTTGAGATGTTTATGGATAAAGTATTCACTAAGCAAATAAATTAATTAATTTAAAGAGAAAATTATCTTTGTTAGTCTCTTTAGAATTCATTTGTTCCGATTTCTAATGCAACTCATGTGGTGTTTACAACTTGAATTTTTCAGAATAAATACATATATAAATAGTCTCTTTGGCAATCAAATTAATTTGTTTGACTCAGAATAAATACATTTTCCAGTTACAATATAGAATTCCTCTTGCAACTCCTTTTATGGCACTTGAATTTCCTTGCCTATTTATAACAATATTGGTACTAGCTAGACTTCCAAGGATTTTGCTACACAAATTTCATGAACCTTCTTTTGATTAATTTCACCTTTATAAGGATTATAAGGATTCACTTGAGGGCTGCATATAGAAATTTGCAATCTTAAGAAAATATGACGTACCAAAATCTTGCTCTTATCCTGGACAAGATAGTGCATTTATCTTGTTCAATTTATTGCCTAAAAACATAATGATGGTTTTGTTTGCGCACTGAGATGTACTAAGTGTAATAAAAACTTAAAAACGGTACTTGCTCACCGCTTCAAAGACCATTTAACTTCGAAATCCAAATAATTCTAGCAGTGCATAAGTACGCAGAAAACATTTAATTAGCTCTAATTTCAATTGATATTTTCATTATTCAGCTAATACATCGACAGAGGATCTAACATGATTTTACAAGTTTGAGTCTTCTTGATAATAAAAGAGCAAGATGAGAATCTAACATAATCACTCTAGTTCGAGTCCTCACGATTGTTATAAAAATGATTATTGGAGCTTTTATCCAACTAATAATTCTAAGATCATGAAGGATTAGTTGAGATGCGAGCAAACTAGACAAAACATCTCCTATCATTAAAACAAAAACAAAGAAAAAAAAATATATCAAATAATGCAAATAAGTTTCTTTCCCACTCATCAATTAATCAATACTGTCATATCAATATCTAAGGGAGCATGTAATGCTGCATTTTCATAGATTCTCTGGGTAGGCAAATTACTAAAAGAAATAAAGTAAAAGAATAGTGAAACAAATAAGAATTGCATCATATAGTGAGAATTTGATCTTGCAAAGCTGTTTAATCAGATTAAGTTTAAAAATAATAATAATAATAAAAAATAAATAAATAAATAAAAATTCCCATGTCATTTTCTAGGTCAGAATAAGTCTCCATCTCTTTACAACTCTTTCTTTAAAACTCATTCTTACACTTTATCTCTATAAATAGGTTAGAGAGTGTGAATTGAACAAAGTCTAAGCATTTTGGTTTCTTTGGGATTCCAAATTTTCCGAAGGCTGAGAGTTGCCGGATTGTGGCCAAAGCTCAGGTTTGTTAATGGTTTTTTTCTTTTTCTTTTTTGTTTTTTCATCCTTTTAAAGAAAGCATTTGGTCTCTCATAGATTCTCAAAAAATCTATAGTTGTATAATTAATACTATATATAACTTACCTCAAAAAATATTTTTCCTAAAATCATGTGGTTTCTATTTGTAAGATCTCTAAACTTAGATCTCTTGCAGAGAAGCAGATTTTTTTTTTTTTTTTTTTCTCATTTTAAAATACAAGAGAAGATCTACTTATCCATTCTTGTTCTCAAAATTTTCATCTCATCATACTTTTACTTTTTTTTTTTTCTTTGTTTATATATGGCTTTCTTTTTTGTTCTTTTTTCTCATCAAAATCCTTATTTAATGAAAGTTAAATCATGAATCTTTGTCTCTAATCTGATATGATCTGAGTTCTTGCTCTGATATATGAAAAAGTTCTTTCATTTTTAAGGTTTGCCATACACAAAGAGAGGAGTGACTACAAAATCTTGTGCATTTTACTGTATTTTTGATTTTCTCTCCGACAAGAAGTTATGTTCTTGATATTAATATTCTTCGGCCTTCTCTTTCAGTTTGAACCTCTTTCTCTGGATCTCTTGTCAATGTTTTGTTTTTTCTCCTTACATTTTTAAGCAATTATTCTTATTTGCCATAACTTATACATGAGATCTTGCAGAAAAAGATAAAACTTACAAAACCCTCAAACTTTGTGATTTTGTCTCATATCCATCAATTTTCTCATGTCAACAATTTATCCTTCTCTCTCAGTTTGAACTCATTTTATTCTGGATCTCTTCCTCTTGTCAACGTTATCTTTCTTTTGTCTTTCTTCTCACACTTTGAAACATTCTCTCTTTTTTTCAAGGGTACTTATTATATTTCAGATCTTCCCCATTTTTTTATCAATTATCATGATTCTAAATATATTTTTTCGTAACTTAATGAAACCCTCGCCCAGTCTGAGATATTTGCTTTCATGGGAAAATCAAACCAAAAAAAAAAAAAAACAACTTTTCATGAATTTTTAAGCAAGTACTTTTTATATATTTTTGTTTCAAATGTTTTACTTCAGTTGCCTCTTTACTAATTTTATTAGATGTAACCCATCAAGATTTTTATCATTATGTATTAATTTCTCTGAGCATTCAGTATAGGAAATAGGTGGCAACAAACTTATAATTCTATTAAAAGAAAGATTTATGAATAAGTTCTCCAAGGTATATATAATAAATTATGAGTCTCTATATAATATGCTCTGTAGAGATGGGGAGAGGAAAAATCGAGATCAAGAGGATTGAGAACACAACAAACCGCCAAGTGACCTTCTGCAAGAGGAGGAATGGATTATTGAAAAAGGCCTATGAACTTTCGATTCTCTGTGAAGCTGAAGTGGCGCTGATCGTCTTCTCCAGCCGCGGCCGCCTCTATGAGTATTCAAACAGCAAGTAATCTTCTCATCTCATCTCTAATTATTGAAGCTTTCATTTTGGATCTACGTTTGTGTCACTCATATTTTTATGCATATTATCATTCAGATGAGGTGTTTCTGAGTTAAGAACAAAAGGGAAATAAATAATTTGAAGGTTCTGATGTTAAGTCAAGCCAATATTCCTTATATAGAAATATAATTATTAGTGTGTTTGACATTTTTATGATTTAGGGTTATAGCTATTAATTTGCATATACAGTATAACAGTGTGATGACCTTAATTGAATTGATTGATACGTTAAAACTGACATTGTACTTGTCTTTAGCTTAGAGAAAAGTCTTCAAAGAAAAAGAATTTATTTCTTCGTTTTGGTTATAGTTTATATAATTGTTACCGTGCATGGAATGTTATCAGGAAAATACAGTGCTTAAGGTTCAAAGTCTTCAATCTCCATCTCTGTTACATTTCTTTTCCGAACCTCGTTGGAATGAGAAAGAATTAAATAAAAAGAAAATATATTCCATTTTGTGATATCTTTTGGGCTTCTTGTGTCAAATAGATTGCTACTTGAAGTTGTTTTGTCTTTGATTTTTAGATCCGTGGACGGCAAATCATAATTCTGTAGTTAACCTGCCATAAACTTACGAAATTTTTTTCATACGTATTGTTATTAAGAAAATATATATGAATTAATCGTCCCAAAATGTCAAAAATTTACAAATATATTGTTTGAAATCTTTGTCCTCCAACATAAAATTTTTGATGATTTACTATACGTGTTTTTTTCTATTGTTTATGATATATATAATCTAGGTAAAATTTGTATTTTATCTCTCATCTGGGCTCAAGGATTTTCAATATTACCAATGAACTCTTTCTTTTTCTTCTCTTATATAAGTTAAGAAAATAGTGAAACTGCAACCATCTAGGGTTTCTTTATTTAGTAATTGGGAATTGAATGCAAGCGCGTGGAGTTTAATGCCTTCTCTAGCTAGCCTTCTATCTAGCTCTGTTCAAAGACAAAAATATCAAACTCTTAATCATAAGATTTACAGAAAAGATTATCATTTCATCATAGACGCATAGATTCACTACTTCATGTGTTTTAAAGCTAAACTTTGCAATAAATTATAAAAATGATAGAAAAATAGAAAGAACAAAATATTGGTGGAATCTTCAGAGATTTGTCTTACCGATTAAAGCATTTTGATCTTAGTGAATATAGTTTTTACATTTTTCCTTCTTAATGTCACAATGTTAAGAGAATTTAACCAATCTGCAGTCCATACTGCAGTAGTTGGATCATTTATGGATATTTTGATTTCTGTTTCTCTTTATGGGCAGTTATGATGAGTGTATTTGATTGTATATTTATATTTCTAACTTTGAAAATCTTCACCATTTTTTTTTTTTCCATCTCTTTAATGAAAGAAACTTAGCTAGTTTCTTTTATCATTATCCCTTTTATGCCTGTTTTTATGTTCAAATCATGAATGAGCTAGCTCAAAAGCTGAAACTAAATAAAATTTCCATTTGTGCTTTCATGACATAAAAAAAATATGAAAAGAAAAAGATGAAAGAGTTAGAGTTGCCTTCTCCTTGAAGGTGTTAAAGGCAGAAACATTTTCCCAGAAGACAATAAAGAAAAAGTTGCAGTGTATTATAGCTTGCATGCGGTAGTTCTGAAATTTTACTCTTTTGTTATTCATAAATCTTAAGTATTGTATTGTGTCCATTTCTAGTTTTAGCTTTCGAAAGTTTCCCATATCTCCTTCAGCACTGGAAGAAATCTAGACCATATCTCTTTTGTCAGTTCTCTTAACTCTGGAGGAACAGAAAACTTCATCCGTGTATTTGTCCCATCATCCAAAGTTTGTGGATTTCTGATGAAAAAATGAAAAGTAAAAATTCACATCTCTTCACTCCAGAGGAACAGAAATCTAGTCCAGGTTTAACTTATTTCTACCAAAACTCATCATTTATCACTCTTCTTCTCTTTCTCTCGTTGTTTAACAAAAATCTCACTTTCTCGAACTAGCGTAAAAAACTTGAGTTTCCTAATTTAAGTTTTTTTAATTATTTTCTAGAATATTGTCTATTGTGTTATTATATCGAAGTATATATGAATTGGAGAAGATCATTTGGTATCAGCAAAAGATTAGAATTTAATATTGTATATACAGAAAAAAAAACATATATATTATTTGATAGCATTTTGACACGAAATTATCATGATAATACTTTATGTTAAAAATGCATCAATAACAATTATAACATATTAAGGATAGAAAAAAAAAATATAAATGAGTAATGATATCTGAATTTTATTAATTAGTTTTGTTATTATTATTATTATTATTATTTTTGTTGTTTTTGAATTTACTTCTCCTATATCAAATTCCTTGCTACATCCATGGAAGTGTAATAATTTGCCTCAACTAATTAACTAATAAAGAAAGTGTAAATGCGCATACTCATATGACAAACAAAAGTAGTATTCTTAACTTAAGCAACACTATATATATTTACAACTTTGAAACTTCGTATGCTTCGGTAAGTTTCTTGATTTCCTTATCATTTTGTTTAAAATTTAGAAGCTTAGTTGTGTTTTCGACACTGCAGCATAAGGTCAAGTATTGAGAGGTACAAGAAGGCGTCCTCAGACAACTTGAATTCCGGATCTGTCATAGAGATCAATGCTCAGGTAATTAATTAAGTTGATTCTAAATATGTTAAATCTACAATATCAAATTATCAGAAACAAACTGAACTTAAAAAGTTGTATTCCTCTGTTTCATGTTACCAATTACTACAGTATTACCAGCAGGAATCAGCAAAGCTTCGACAGCAAATTCAGATGATACAGAACTCCAACAGGTTTAAAGTCTTAATGATATATGTCCTAGAGGCAATGCAAAATCCAAAAGAAATTCAACTTAAATTTTAACTAAATATATCTTAAACAGTAATTTTATATGTTCTTGAAAGAGTATAACAGACTTGGGAAAGAGATAGACTAGTTAAGCTTCATCAATCTTAGAAGAGAAGAAACTAGGTTGAAGATCAGAAAATTTTGGAAATGAAACCTAGCTGTAAATTTTAACGGACTTCAGAATTCTGAATGGCTTGATTCTCGGCACCTTTACTGTCAACAGTTCTTATTATTTTTCTAGAAAATTAATAATCAGCTTCACTTATAAATACATGGACTGTTCACCAATTTCCAGGCAGGTTCACACCATGAAAAATATTGGCATGACCTAATCCATTGAACTATTTATTTTGTAGGCACCTAATGGGAGAGTCCTTGAACACTTTAACCGTGAAAGAGCTGAAGCAGCTTGAGAATAGGCTTGAGCGAGGCCTTACCAGAATCAGGTCCAAGAAGGTATTTCAATCTTCAACATATAGTCATTAAAACATAAATTCATTATTAAGATGCTAATTACCATTTTGCTTGACATAAAATTTCAACTAGAAAATGGCACTTCTATTCTTAAACTTACTTTGCATTTCTTAGTAAATTTTGTTTTAATTTGCTCCTAATATTTACTTGTCGCTGCAACAGCACGAGATGTTGCTAGCTGAAATTGAGTACTTCCAGAAAAGGGTAGGTATCACATCTTGCTTTATAAAACTTTTTGTATAAAGAATTAATGTATTATGGACGAATTGATGTTCTACACATTTACTATTTTCTACAGGAGATCGAGCTTGAGAATGAGAGCGTGTTTCTTCGTTCCAAGGTATGCAAATTTTGATGATATTAAAACTCACAAAGTATTGATTTTGATATACACATACGTATAGATAATTTATACATTTCTTTTTCTTTCTTCAACTTTAGATTGCAGAAGTTGAGAGGTTTCAAAAGGCCAACAACATTGTGAGTGGACCAGAGCTGAATGCCATTCATGCGTTAGCTTCTCGGAATTTCTTCAATCCAACCATGATTGAGAATACTGAAACTGCATACTCTCACCCTGATAAGAAAATGCTCCATCTTGGGTAAATTTCATTTCTCCATTTCATATATGAAATTTACATCTTCTGTTCTCATAATTTATATAACTAATTATTTCTTCCTGTATGCAGGTGAGCTGTTGAAGATGACCAAAAATCTACAAATGGGTATCTCAGTATGAAGTATATTCTAACTAAAGATATCATTTTCTAGTTTCTCTATTTTATTTATATGTAATATATGCTATTGTAATCCCAGTTGTGTTACTTGGGAACTACTCAAAAAATCAGGAGACAAGGTAGTTATAATTTGAAGACTATAAATTAAGTGATTATATATGTTAAACTTATTATATAATGTTGAAGGATTTGTTTTGAAAATTAGCAATCGTTTAAAAATGCAACTATTAAACTGTTGAAAATTTTCCTGAGTTAAAAATATTTTATCCTTCAGGGTTTTAAATGACACAATTAGGGAGAGGGAGTTGAGAACTAACACTTTTTGGAAAAAGTCTCAAGAAATAGCACATTTCCATTTAGCACAAAATTAGCAGATGAAATGGCCTCTAATGACAAATCCCTAACCATTAATTCAAAAACCATTCTTCCACTCTAAAATCTCAAGTGAAGACTTGAATTTGTGATCTTGAGGAGCACCTTTTTAATGGTTCTTGATATATTGTTTTTGAAATGAAAGTTTTGTTATTTGAAAGTTGTTTGAAATCTAAAATTTTAAGTATGTTGCATATATCTCTAAGGAACATGTTAAATAAGTTATTTTTGAAATGATTTGTTATTGTTTAGTTGTTTAAACTTATATTTCAGTTGATATGTTGAAAATGGGGGTTTAGACGTAATCTGCATATGGGCTTTGGCCAATTTCGGAGGATTCGGATGGAAAATTGGTTGGAGGTTGAAGACGAGTTTTAGCAAAAACCCACATGTCAACCGAATTTGGTCAATTTTGTCTTTTGATACTAAGGTGGCTAAAAATGGCGGAAACCATGCCATTTGACCGATTTGGCCATTTGAACAAAACCTGTCTTGGCTGAATCCAAGATATTCGACCAAAAATCAATTTCATCTTCTTCAACAAAACCTTCTTTTATTGGTTGAAAATAGTCGAAACCCCTTGATTGGAAAAAAAATGCAAATTTTAGCTGCCATTTCACTACCATACAACTAAATTATTTGGCCATTTTCGCACCCTTCTCAACAACTCAACAAAACACTTCAACATATCTCCCATTCTTAACTCTAAAATCCCACTAAAAACCCTAAATCCAAAACCAGTAGTTCCACTCAATTTTGGCACAAATAGGAGGTGGGTATTGGTTGAGGGTTGAAAGTTTGAATTTTCGCAATGGAGGGAGGGGTAGGTTAGAAGATGGGTGAATCGTGTAAGTTTTATTTATATATGGGGGCACTTTTGCCGAAAAATATTGTGTGAATTAGGATTGTACTATTACAAGAGACATTTCAAAAAAGTGTTATTTCTCAATTCAAGGCTCCAAATAGTGTTAGTTAATATAATTTCTCCTAGTAAATGGTGTCATGAGGCTAGATCTGACCTTTATTGGCTATCTAAAAGCCAAATCTGGCCTCTTAGGTCAATTAGAGGTCAGATTCGACTATGAGTGGCTATCGAAAGGCTTGATATGGTCTTAATTGACATCGTGGCAGTTACGAGGCCTTTAATGGCCCCAAAGGGTTGCCGCAAAGCCCTAGAGGCCTTATGTTTTTTATTTTACACTAGCTTGTATGATATATCCAAAGACTTATTTTCAAAAACATATAAACCTATGTTAATCAAACTCATTTTAAGTAGAATTTCTTGTATCTCCTACTTTTAAAATTCAAAAATTGTATTTAGATTCTATATTAAACTAGTAAAAGTTAAATATTTGTTATAAAATGACTCTAATACCCTTAATAATTTTAAAAAATGTGTTTGAACGACATTGTTCACCTCTACTAAATAAAAAGAAATTAAAAAATTTTTTCACTTTGAGAGGTTAGTGCTACAATCATACTAATATAGGGGGTTATTATCAATTGCTAGAACTTATTTTAAAAACTAGAAGAAAATAGACAAAAAAATCATTTATACTAATAAACAGAATCTTTTTATTACTCAAAAGACAATTTTTAAAGTATGTCTAAAAAATGTAAAAAAAGTCAATTACGGATGAAAAAGTGTTTGTTAATTAATAAAACTGTTTATTTATCGATATAAATGAAATTTGTGTAATTTTTTTTCTAACTTTAGAATTAGTGTTTATCAAATGATAATAACCCATACTAATTACTACATGCTATATTCCTATATCACTAGTATCTTTTTGTATAATTTATTTAGAAGATACACCAGGGCATTGTTGTAATATCATTAAGAAAATACAGCAGGTCATTTTTGTAAAATTCATATAGCAACTCTTTATAAAAAAAAAAAGAAAAAAAAAGAATATACTATTAAAGAGACCGGCATCTCTTTGACTCGACAGTATTTTGCAGTAAACCCTAGATCGCCCGCCCACAAACCTTAAACCTCTGAACAGCCCCACGCCACGCTCGCTCTCTCTCCAAGGTCTCTTCAGTTACTAGGTAATTTTTTTTGTTCTCATTTCATCGTACGTTTTCTTTCTTAGTTTTATGCTTTTGTATCTGAATATAACTGTGTTTTTTTTTGGGGGGGTTCTTTTGCGTGATCAGATCTTGGTTTTGTCTGTTAAGCGAAAAGAAAATCCTCGAAAGCTATGGCTCTGGTAATCCCACTTCTTGTTTTGCACGTTTTGTTGATTTCGATCTTGCTTTATGAGTATTTCTTTTTTTTTTTTTTTTGCCCAGAAGCTTTATAGATAGCTTTGGAAAAATGTTGTGCAAATCTTAAAATTGACCTTTTCAAAACTTTTTTTCCTTGTAATTTCAAGAAAGGATTAATGCTTAATTGAGTGAAAAGTTAATAAAAACCAAGACCTTTTTGTTGACTAGTAATGAAAATAATTGCTTTTAAAATTTTAATAATGTGTGTACTTAGTAAAATAGATGTCGATGGGGAGTGTTTTTGTGGGTGCATGTAGCCCCGCTCGAGATTATATTTTAATTTAGTCAAATGGGGAGTTGAGTTTCAAGTGACATGCATTGGAGAATTCGAGATTATATATATTCTTTTGTCAGAATTTCTATCAATTTTTTGTCTTATGGATGGTTGTAATTTTCTAGACATAATGTGATTTGATATTTTTAACGTTCAAAGACATTGTCGAGACAGACATTCAGCAGTTTTAAATATTGTTTGAAATTATTGCACAATTTGTTAGTTGATGTTGTTGCGAAGTAATTGAGAATGTACTCAATAATGTAATGGTTTTTATTTATTTGTAGGTCTTGCATGCTGGAAACACCAATAAAAATGCTTTCAAAGCGCTTATTGCAGCAGAGTACTCTGGAGTCAAAGTTGAATTGGTCAAGAATTTTGAGATGGGTGTGTCAAATAAAACCCCTGAATTTCTTAAGATGAACCCCATTGGAAAGGTTTGTTACCATTGCATGGCTTTATTTTCAAGGTAGCCTTGTGTTTAATATGCTGACTTTCCTGAAAAAATATCTTGATGTGTAGGTTCCAGTGTTGGAAACACCTGATGGAACTGTTTTTGAGAGTAATGCCATTGCACGTTATGGTGAGGACAGATGATAAGTTCTTAGATTCTCTGTTAGAAAATCTGTATATTGTGAGAGTTTTAAGTTTCTGAAATTTGTTATGACTTGCTGCAGTTGCCCGCTTAAAGGCTGAAAATCCACTCTTGGGCTCTTCATTGATTGATTATGTAAGTTATGTGATGGCTGTCTTTCATTACTGTGAGATTCACTTCAATATATATTTTTTATGTTGTTCTGTTCAACCGTTTTATCCCTTGTTTTGAAGAACATATCTTGACTCTGAGTTTTGGATTTTATGATGTAGTTTCGGGAGTATTTGTGTATGAATCAGTTAAACTTGATTGAATAATAGATTTTATTTGAACCTTTCCTCAATTTTTTATGCAACTAAATGCAGCCTAATGCATTTTTTTAATGCTGAAAAAATCTGTCATGGTCTTCCACTTTAAATACGTTTTTATTTTTTGAGTTTCTTATTTTTGTTGCGATTGCTCTTATGACATATGCTTTATAATTGCAGGCTCATATCGAGCAATGGATTGATTTTGCATCATTGGAGATTGATGCTAATATCTTGCGTTGGTTCATTCCACGAATTGGTTTTGCTGTGTACCTTCCTCCGGTTAGTCGATTTCAGCTATTGTATATTTTATTTCTTAACACGACAATGTTTCTTCTTTAGCTCATGATAACTTTGATTCATTACGTTTCTAATGATTTGGTGTTAATCTCCACCAAGGCTGAGGAAGCTGCAATTTCATCATTGAAGAGAGCACTAGCTGCTTTGAATGTGCATCTTGCTTCCAACACTTTCTTGGTTGGACATTCCGTAACATTGGCTGATATCATTATGACATGCAACTTGACTTTGGGATTTAGCCGGATCATGACCAAGAGCTTTACCTCAGAATTCCCTCATGTTGAGAGATACTTCTGGACTATGGTTAATATACCAAATTTCCACAAGATATTGGGAGACATAAAGCAAGCTGAATCTGTGCCTCCTGTTCAGTCAGCGAAGAAGCCTTCACAGCCAAAAGAACCTGCAAAACCCAAGCCTCAAGAACCTAAAAGGGAAGCTAAAAAAGAACCAGCAAAGCCTAAAGTAGAGGAGGCTGGTGAAGAAGAGGCACCCAAGCCCAAGGCAAAGAATCCACTTGATCTTTTGCCTCCTAGTAAGATGATTTTGGATGAGTGGAAGAGGCTTTACTCAAACACAAAAACGAACTTCCGTGAGGTTGCTATTAAAGGTACTTTCCGAAAAACTTGCTGTGAACATACATGTAAAATTACCCTGTCACTTAGAAGACGATGCATTTAGCTATAGTTGTGCTAGAGGAAGATAAGGGGTCTGGGCTTTTTGGATTTACTTACATAGAAGCCAACTGATGGTTTCAACTTTTGCACAATGTAGCTGTCATGGTTTGCATATGGTGTTATCTTCTACATGATTTTCATTTGCCTGATCATTTGGTGGATTTATGTGCTTTCCATGTGCAAGTTGTGTAAAGTTTTAATTTTGATCTCATGCATTTTTTTGTTTTCACTGTCTTCCTGTGTTCTCTCTCTCATTTATTTGATAAACTCTGTACACATTTTGGGATTTTGTATAGTTGAATTAACTGCAACCGTGATTTCTTGGCCATCTAAATTGAATATTTAATTTGTGTTTTGATTAATTAACGTAGAACAGACATCAAGTCTTGATTTGTTTTGTTCTGTGACTGTTTTTGTGGCTTAATGTAAGGGTTCAACTTAGTGTATCATATGAATTGATTTGGGCAAAGTTTGAGGATAAAATGTGACTAATAGTTTCATGAGATTGCTGTTAAAGGGATTTATATATTCTTAGCTGTGAATACTTTATGTATGTTGGATAAGCCCTATAATTTCAATAATTCTGCTACATTAAGCAATTTTTTTGTATGATATGTGATAACGAGTTTTGGTTATTTGGTATTTAGTTTATTTAGCTTAGGTGTTATTCTGAAAAGATTCCCAGCTCTTGTGTATTGAGGAATTCAAATCTTATATGGATAAGCAAACAAGTTTCCAATCTAGTGTTTTAGCAGTTTTTGACCAATTGAATATTGAGTTATTTAGTTTGTTGCTGAAGGCATATATATTAATTTTTTTCTTTTCCATAGTTGCACATTTTTCTTTGGCTAATTATCCTTTTTTGGTTGGTCTCTTCTTAGGACTTAAAATTTAAGTTAAATTTTTCACAGTTACTGTTTTTTTGCTAGCTATTCATGAGCTGTTTGCATCACTATTTACATAAACTATTTAATGTTTTGTTTTTTATTTTTGCTCTCAAGCAAATATCTTTTGAAGACATAATCTAATCTAATCAGTTATTTATATTTTCGTCGTCGAAAATTGTATTTAAGTTCATTTTCTTTGAAATTGTATTCAATAGTGATGCCTTTTTAGTACGTAAACAAGTGCTAATTATAGTTCGTTCTTAATTACCCGTGATGGTAAAACAGTTACTGCAACCAAGGATATTCTTTGCAAAACTTTTTTTGGAATGATTCAGTAATTAGGGATGTGTATGATCCCCGAGTGTTATAAATGTGTTCTTCCAGTAAGCATTTCTAATCATTCTTTTGTTTTTCTCCCTGTAGGATTTTGGGACATGTATGACCCCGAGGGCTACTCTCTTTGGTTTTGTGATTACAAGTACAATGATGAGAATACTGTCTCATTTGTGACATTGAACAAAGTGGGTGGTTTTCTGCAACGAATGGACTTGGCTCGTAAATATGCTTTCGGGAAGATGCTGGTGATAGGTTCGTCACCACCCTTCAAGGTGAAGGGTCTATGGCTATTCCGTGGACAGGAAATTCCTCAGTTTGTAATTGATGAGTGTTACGATATGGAGTTGTATGAGTGGAAGAAGGTAGACATCACCGTCGAAGCTCAAAAGGAGCGAGTAAATCAGATGATTGAAGATCAAGAACCTTTTGAGGGAGAGGCTTTACTAGATGCCAAGTGCTTCAAGTGATCTATATATGAACAGAGAAGTAGATGAAACGTTGTGTTCACAAACTTTTCTTTATTTTGTGTTTTAAACAGCTTTGGCCTGCGCTTGCCTTACCCTAATTTTGTTCTCTTATTATTTAAATTGGAATATATGTTCAAACTTTTAAGTTAATTAACATTGTATTTTGTGTTTACATTTTGAGTTGAGTTAATGATTTTGGGCTTACAGGGAAATTCAAGTTTTTTTTTTGAACTTTTTTTTTTTTCGGTGGATTTGGAAAAATGAAAATAGGATTTAGTTTGTTCCTCTAAAATTTAGATAAGAAGAAATCCAGATTTTTTTAGTTTCTCATTTGGGATTTTTTTTTCTTTTGTTTTGTTTTCTTAAAATTTGTTTACCAAAAATGAAAGTGGTAGGTTAAATATGGTGTTCCCTTTATTTATTTATTTTTTTAACATTATTGAAACTTTGACAGATAAAAGAGCTTTGATAGTGGTTTACAAGAGAATAATAAAAAATTATATTTATTATAATTATTGTTGTTTTATTAAAAAATCAATATAATAATATATGAAGAAGTAATGAATTATCAAATAATTTACCTTAATATTTATTAGAAATATATATTGGAAATGGACTGATTGATAGTAACATAAAGTCATAAACAACAACACAAAATTTTATAAAATAAGATTTCTATAAGAAAGAAAGAAAACAAAAAATGAAATAATATGAGCGCAGGAATTTTATTATCGTCTTCAAATCAGATATCATGGAGACTCACTCCGTGAAAGACCTCATCACAGATCTAGAGGGGCAACTTAGAGTTGCTTATAAATAAGAATTGAAGCAGTTCTAAACATTCAATGTGGGACTCATCTAATTTGAAAACGCCCCAAACATTCTTACGAAAAAACGTTTTCAGAAAATAGCCTATTAACTTTATGTATTTAAATCAAATGTTTCCTCAATCCTCAACTTGGTCTAAATCTCAAAATTTTAGTTCAATCTCTAATAAAAAATATTGGAATCACTTTTTGATATATCGGATTTAGGTCCAAAAAAATAAAAATAAAATAAATTAATAACAATAATTCCCCTTTAAGTATAGTTAAATAATCAAAATTCCCCTGCGGTTAGAGAAATAAAACAAATCCTCTTACATTAATTTTTAAATTATATCTTAATATTTTTAATATTTGAAAGTAATAAATTATATGTATTTATCAGAAATATACTTTTAAAAGCAAGAGTTTGATACTTTTCTTTTTTGAATTTATTTAAGAAATACTTGAAAAAAATAAATATCTTTTTTAAAAATCTAAAATTATATTGTGTATCATTTTCTGAAAAACGTTTATACAAATAAAGATATTATGCACATGTTATGGGCAATTTAAAGAGTTGAGATGACAATTGAGTAATTTTATCATTCAAGAAACAATAAATTAATTCAAAGCACAATTTTGCATATGTCGTGATAATTTTGTGCCATTAAAAAATATATTTAGTTTGATATAATTTATACTTAGCTATATAATGTTCTATTACATCAACTATTCAATCGTTTGAAAATAAACGATAACAAAATTTATAATTTTATCATCAAATCAGTGGTGATGGAGACCTTCCCTACCAAATTTCTCAACACCGCTCAGCCAGTGGAGCTAGAGTTGCTTATAAGGAAGAAGATAACCAATTTTATGTGGCGGATGTGAGATTATGATTAAGCAATTAATAAAAATGATTTGAAATTAGCATATTAACTTGAAATAATTAACTGAGGTTGTATTGTAGAAATTCATTCACTCAATTCCAACAATTAGTGGCAAGGTTTGCATATTTATTATAAAATACTGAATTTACGTATTGAGAATTAGAAAAACCTGATTCTATCATAGCTTCTAAATTTCTTGAATTTTTTAAAGTAGTGACTAGTCTTTCTTTAAAAAAAGCTCCATAATGATAGACTTGAGACTTCCAATTAAGGTTCAACGTATAATCACGTTTTGGAAAGGAGATCTAACCAATTTATATCAATATATTAGACCCTCTCATTAAAGGTCCAACAAACTCTATAACCCATTACAAATCCAAACCTTCACTTGTCGTCAACCTAGATTATTCAAAATGAGGTGTATTGAGTAAATTTTGAAATGGTCACGTAAGCTCATCAAGATATCTCATAGGACTATACATTTACTTGATTTTATTAAATCAAAACATAATTAATGTTAGCCTACAGTTAACAAATTTTATAATATGGATTTCAAAATTTGATATACAATCTCAATATATCTAATCAACCTTCGTTTTTGTCAAACACAATTTTTATGAGAGGTTTATAGCCAAATCTATTACGATGAAATTATATTTGTATCTTAAAAATGCTCTTAATAAACTTTCTTAGTAGACCCCAATAATAAAATGGTTAGAAATTATATTTTTACTCTATTCATCTCCAAGAATAATTCTCTGGTAAGGATATTCTTAAGTAAATTTTGTAAGGACCTTGTTTAAATACCATCTTAAAATCCTATAAAACAAATAATGGATCAATAATTAATAAAAAAGTCAAAAGTGACGGAAGCTTGTTTCTAGAAATTACTTTTGATAATTTTACAAAATTTTTATTTTTAGTATTTTTTTTTATTACATGAAGTTTTAATACAATATATTATTTTTTGGTATATTGGAATATTTTAAAATTACTAGATGAATTATTCAAATTCAAAATTTTATTGTTTTAATGGAGAAATGTATTTAAAAAAATAATTATTAAGAATATATTTGGTTTCAAAGATGAAAGAACCACCTACCATCAGTTAAAAGTAGAGATGTAAAAAATACCCGACCCGATCGGGGTCCAGGGTGCCTTGGCTCGGGCATACAATACACCTAGAGCCCATGTTTTCTCCACGGTACCATAGATATGAGTGTAGACGCATATTGTTGTTTTAATGGAGAAATGTATTTTAAAAAATAATTATTAAGAATATATTTGGTTTCAAAGATGAAAGAACCGCCTACCATCAGTTAAAAATAGAGATGGAAAAAAATACCTGATCTGATCGAGGTTGGCTAGCCGTAAGCCATGCCTAAAAATCAAGACGTGTTGTGCCCTAGGTCATGCCGTGCTAAGGCCCACAAAAATTCGTGTCTTGTCGTGTCGTGTCAGTCCGCTATATAGCATGTCGTGTCATGGGCTTGTCCGCGTGCTTTGTGGGTTGGCCTACAATTTTTTTTTTAATATTTAATATTTATAAATTATGGTAATTTTGATTTATTATTAATAATTATTATAAAATATTTTTATATGTTATATTTAGTGACATTTTGTATTTGTATTAATTAAAAAAAATATAATCACTGTGAAATTTAGTAAAATAACGAGCATTGAAATATCAATTGAATTTTAATACTTTTTATTACTTATAATTATAAATTACAAATACAAAATTAGAAATTAGGATTAAGAATTAATATTAGCAATTACATCTTCATTAGAAATACAAGTATACAAATGCAATACAACTATCTCAACTTTGATTATAGTTTACAAATATTCAAAATAAATGATTGATAAAAAAAAATCATACATCTTCATTTTCATTAATTTTTTTGAATATTTGTATAATAAAATCAAAGTTGAGATAGTTGTAAGATTCGAGAATTTTGATATATCATTCCTTAAAGAGTAATGCTACAGATACTGAAATTTTACACCGAATTTTTGTACTGAAAGACATGGAAACCAGTCAGACGCGACCATTCTAGAGTCTTTCTTGAATGAACGTCCGTCCAACATTTATGGACGCCCACCCATATTTAATGGACTCCTATTTATATTGTATGGACGAGTTTTCATTTATTACGATCGTCCAAAAAATTTTAAAAGAAAAATAATGAACGCCCGTCCATTTTATAAGAACGGTAGTCCATTTACTATGGACATGAGTCCACATAAAATGGACGCCTGTTCATGCTTAAAAAAACCTCTCAGTTTCTTTGACTTGGACGCCCATCCATACTAAATAATAGCATTTTTCTTTGCAAAACGTCTACAAGCATGAGATCAGATTCATGAACTGCAAAAAGAGCACCAATCAAAGTTGTGTAAGCTGAAAAAGTAGGCTTGAATTTGAGTGTAGTCTGTTGAAAATATCAGAGCAACTTTAGTTGTTGAAAGAGTCTTCTTCAAGAATGACTCTTTACAGGTTTGGGAATACTTCCATGGAAAAAAAAAAAAAAAGTGAAGAAACAGGTGCATGAAAATAAAGTAAAGAAACAGGTGCTATTAAATAGAGAAATGAATGGGTGTCCATCTAAGAGGACACTCGTCTAATACTTTTTTTTTTTTTTTTTTAATTTAAACAATGGACGGGCGTTCATCTAATAAAGACGCCCATTCATTCAGTCGGGATGCTTGTCCATAATATATGGACGAGCATCCATGATTTTTGTTTTCAAAATTTTTTTAGTTTAAATTATGGACGAGTGTCCATTATAGGTGAACGACCGTTTATATAATATGGACGAGAGTCCATTTAAAATAAATGGCTGTCCAATAACAATAGACGACCGTTCATTTGTAGAATATTTGTTAACGTGCTATGTGGCTCGCTGATTCAGTAGACACGTTATTCGGTGTAAAAATTCGGTACAAAATGTCGGTGTCCGTAATATTTTTCTTCCTTAAAACCATATAATAAGGAAAATTTTTTTGCCATTACTCTAAGAAAATTAGAAAATATATATGCAATATATAAATAACCATTAGAATAATACTACACTTATAAAGACTTTATATGAAATCTTTCATGACGTGACAATATTCTTGCAATGTTATATTATTTGCTAACTAAAACTCTTAAATATTAAATATTTAAAAAAAAAATCAAACTAAAAGTATGAAATATAAACAAAATTACAACTTAAGAAATGGAGAAAACGATTCAAATATGTTCTTCTACTTTCTTCACAAAAGTTAGAAAACAGTGATCTTTATCTTTTTTAAAGAAACGATAAAAGAAAGAAAAAATATACACTATACGAGGAACATACTATAAGAAAAGATCAAAACTGACAAACAGATTGTTAGATATAAAAGTATAGGCTGTCCCTGTTTTGCTAAGCGGTGTCGTTTTCATCAAAGTGACAGTAGGATGGTGTAACGTCGTTTTGTAAAGACAATGGGTAGATAAAGTGAGTCTTCTGTACTTACTAA